ATAAAGAAAGTTATCATCGTCAAATCAATTCATAGAACATAGATTGTTAAATCAATATTCATGATATTCTTTCGAATACTACATTTTTTTGTTTTAATTATATAAATATTATTACACCTTAATCATGAAATTAACAAAAATAATATAGGAAAGAAGAAAATTTTCACAATGTTCCATAATAACCGAAAGACTAAGTTTTAAAATAAACTCTAGTTGAAAAACACGTGCTATCATAAAATCGTCTAAACCAGTGTTTCACAAATAAAAAGATTCTGTAGATCGAAAAAATATTCTATATGCTTTACATGGACCGGTAGAATATTCAATATAAAGACCGGTACCAATAATTACTCAACTGTTAATGTCGGTAGAGGTAAGAAAACAATATTTTGCGGATCGGTTTAAAAACTCTGTTCTCTTTTGTGGTATTTGATAAAAAATAAAGTTAGTAGTTAAAGGACTTTTAATAATGCTTCATTTAGGATATTGAGTCACTCCAAACCTGATCTATACGAGTATATAAGATAGCGATCAGTGCTCTATACAGTTAAAACAGCTAAATCTTTAAAATGGAAAATATAAACGTATATAAAATAATAGGTACATTCATACAGAAACATAGGTACATTCAACTACGAGAAATCAAATTTTCTTTATTAAATATCTAGAATTATAAATTTGGAAAAGCTTGAAAGTTAGAATTTGTTGTTAATTACAATAGTTGGATCTTATCTTAGATCGTTTTGGTCATAATGCATGTAGACACATTATATCAATTTATAGTACTTTTTTCCCAATTTGTTTTTATGTTTTATGGTCTAAATATCATTCTAAAATAAACAATCTCGCTAATTTTTTCTTTGTATCTAATAACAATCATCTTCAGCTCATAATGCATTTACTAGATTGTTTTATAATATTTTATATATATCTTCAAACAAATTGTCTCAATATATGCTCATAACATGATTATATTATTACTTTGAGTTCGATTGCATCGATGCTTACCTAAATATATCTCCAACATTTCTTTATACATAAGCCATAAAAATATATTTCTCCCAGAATCGCATTCTGGAAGTACTGGATCTAACATATTCTCTAATAATTTTGGTTAGATATACACATAATTTTAAGAAATTAATTAGCGATTAATTGGTTTGTAAGTAATGTTGTTTGAATGACAGAGAGCATTATATAATAATAGAATATTCGATATAAATACATTCAATATAAAATCATTCTAACAAGTAAGGAAGGAAGTAATTGTAATAATTATATATATCTTCATATATATATATATTTTTTTAATCATCTTAATCTATGTAAAAAAGAAAGAAATATTCATTTGCTCTCTATTACGTTACAATACATTTCCTTTATTTGTTTTTTAATGTTTTAATAAATGAAATTCATTAAATAATTTTTATCGATTATTATTTATTATGCTACATAACGATTTCATTTTTTTTGCCATGGTACAAAAACCTAAAAAATGTGGCGGCTATAAAAACAATCAATTTAAAAAAAAGTAGTTACCAATCTAAATAACCTGGTATGTAACAGGCAAGAAACGTCAACCGAGTGTAACGTATCTTGTCTTCCTGTTTTGCTTGTTGTTGTTGTTGTGTTTTCAACATTTTATAATAAACTTTTTATTTAATAACAGTTAACATTAAATTTATGAGTACTCAGTTCAATGATTTTATTGAGTTATATCGGTTAAATGGAAAGTATTTAAAATTTGAAATATATTTTTGTTTTAAATTTTTTTTAATTTAATATTTAATTTTATGAAAATATAAATTTTATGATGTTAAGAAATATTAAAACTGCAGTTTAATTTAATGTAAATCTTTTTGATGGTATATATAAAGCTATACTGTAGTTGTTATTTTTCGGTTTCTCTAAAAAAATTTTTAAAAATTAAAATAAATTGGAAATAAAATTTAAAACTCTTAATTGGAGTTTTTAACTATATAAAAATTAAAATGCAATGTAAAATAAATAATAATATTTAAAAATAATATCAAGTTAAAATTATTTAAATTAACATATTTTTAAAAAAGTAAATATTTCTTTTTAAAAATATAAATATTTTTTTTTAAATAAAAATTGTTATTTGGCAATACTCGAAACAGCTGTATGGTCAGCCAAAAATTCTATTAATTAATATAATATAAAAAAATAAAATTTTTGTTGTTATAGTTTACTACTGTTCGAAAATATCTCTTTATAAAAATATAAATTCTATAACATTTAACCCTTCTATAGGATTCGAAAAGTAATGAAGAAATAACAACTACAAAAATACTTGAGAATACTTAAAATGGCATTGGATGGTCAGCTAAATTTCAATAAATTAATCAAATTTTTGTAGTAGTTTTTTCTTCAGTACTCTTCGAACCCTTCTAGCTTTCTTTGCGTCAAAAAAAAAATTTTTCCTTATAAATTAATTATTTTCTTAAAAATATAAATTTTTTTGAATAAATATATACATATTTTATTTAAATAAAATTTAGGTAAGAAATATGAAAGCTATGTTGAAATTTTACACCACCCGAAATAGCTATATACTGAACTCAAAATATAAACCTAAGTAAAAATTAGTTTTTATAACTTAATTTGTTTACTATCTACTTTTCTCTTTCAAAACTTAGAATTTAGTAAAAATATAACTAAAAAAGAATTTTAATACAAAATGCTTTTCAAGCGCTATGTCCATGATTAAGCTATTATATATCAAATTAACTCATATGACTGCGTACTTTCTAGTTATTAGAAAAAACTAACCTATGAATTTAAATTGAATTTTTAAAATTTATTTAAAATAATTAGCTATTAAAATAATATTAATAATCGAAAAAAAATTTTAAATTTCATTATAAATTTTTTTCATTACAAAAAAGTTTTTTTCATTTTTCATTTCTTTTTTTTTTTTTGGCAATATCACAACTTCTTTAGGTTAAGTTGTTCATTAACTTATGGTCAAAAGTAAATTTATTATAAATTAAATTGGCAGCAACTGGCTGCTCAATATATAGATTTATAAATTTAAAAAAATTTTTTTTTCCATTTTTCTTGGTTTCTTATTCATTGAACGCATTTTAAAAACGCAATTAAACGCATTTTTTCACGTCTCACTTGCAAAAACCCAACACATCCACATCCACATCGATCCATCCATCCATCAATTATAATTTCATTTTCAACTATTTTTGGCCATATTCACCACTAAATGCTCTACGTGTTGCATTATTTGTTGAAGTTGTAAATTTGAATCGCGTCTCAGTCTAATTTCAATTTAGCGCACATATTCGTTTATATTGAAAAGGAAAGTTTATATTTCTTAACGATTTTGTAATTGGTTTCGTTTTCAATGCGAATAATTATCACTGATTAACACTTGGTCAGGGTTGCCAAATAAATTTACAAATTCATTTACGTATGTTAACATTTTTCAATACACATTTGTATGCTAAAATGCTTCTTAAGAAATATATCTAAATAAATTATTTTATGCCAAGTTGATGCCAACTTTTTAACTACTACTACAGAGCTTAATATATATATAAATGTATATATTTCTTTTTGAAATTCTTAAAAAATAAAATAAATAAATAAGTCCGTACTTGGAAATAGTGCTAATTTTTATTAACATAACATAGCATAACATAGTAACACACGTGTTATTTTCATAACAATTAACCATGCTTCAGGCATTCGATAAATATTTTTGAAATTGATATTGGTGATGATGATGATTTATTAATGATGAAACGTACAAAATTATCTTTCAAATAACGTTTGAAGTGAAGTAAAAAATATTTTAATGTTACTAACAACTGTTTAGTTGTTAAAAAGCGATCGTTTGGGAAGTATTTTTTTATAAATATGAAATGATTCAATTTTTTACAAAAATATATTTTATGCTTTTTTTCTTATATTTATTCAATTCAGTTTATTTGATTTTTTTATTTCAAAAATACCGATATACAAATTTATCTTTATTGATTTTATTGAACAGAAACGCTATCAATATTTGTAAAATTAATATGTAAAATAAAAAAGGTTTCAATGTTACTAACAACTATTTAGTTGTAAAAAATGCAATTGATTAGAAAGTATTTTCGTAAATATAAATGATTCAATATTTACAAAAAATATATTTTATTTTAATTTTTTTTTTATATTTAATTTAGTTTTTCTTTCAATTTTTTAGTTAAAAAATATTGATGTGCAGATTTATCTTTATTGATTTCTTGATTAGACTTACATCAGACTGGAAGTTTGAAGCATTTATTGTTTAAAACGAAAAATTTTGACATTAAATATTTCTTTAAAATATTTGCAATCATTTTAAACTAGATGTAATGAATTTTTTCAATTCAATATTTCATATTAACTTCAAATGAGTTAAAAAACTCTTCTATTAATGATTCAGTGTTTTTAAAATATCATAGTATAGGTAATAGGTAAGGTAGGGATTAATAATTTTAATTGGAGTAACTTTGGTGTAAAAATATTCAAAGATATGTAATCGTTTTAGGTTTTCTAAATCTTTTGTGAACTGTAATTTAGCAGACAAGATCTGTAGAGCAAAAATATGTTTAATAGATTTCCATGTATCTATATCTACTAAGTTCTTTGATAAGTTCTTGGAATGCTATCTATTTGTTAATAATAAAACTAAACCTTTCGACACTATTTTCTTATTTTATCATTCATAAAAACGTAGCGAAAACTTTCTTTTGACTTGTTAATTTATTCCTTGTTTACAAGATATTTGAGGTTTACGTGTCAGTGTATTTTTTAACAGTGGAAAAATTAAACATGATGTGATTATATTTTTTTTGTAAGAGAATATTAATACCGAAATGATAAATATGTTAGTTAAAGCAGCTCGTTGCAAACAAAAAGATTTATAGATGAGCTGATTTGTTCTATAAGTGGTTCTATAAATCTACAAATCAAAAATGAGTTAACATCAGAAATTGTCGTAAGAATATAGATTTGGCTGTATTTGCTTTAGTTGTTTTTTTTTTTTTAAGTTTTTGTTGGTAGATCCTGTTGGTAGAACAGGATCAGAATTAGAAAATATTAGAAAAATTAAATAAAACTATTTTTTTTCCTTTCCTAACATAGAAACGAATAGAATAATCTAAAATTATATAAATTTAATTATCGAAATAAATTCTTCAAACATTTTTAACAGTATTTAATTATCATTAAAACTTTTTAAAGCCATTGTGTTAAAAAATTCAACTAAAAGAATTCGGCATACAGTAGAAAAAAATTATTTTTCATCAAGAGAATGTATGCAGTTACTATCACATCCTTATAAATTTCCACTACAATTAATGAATTATCATAAGATTATTGTGGCTGAAGATATAGTAGCTGTAATAGATTTAACTCCATCTGAGTTCTGTTTTTTGTTCGAAAAGTATTTCTATTAAACGAAGATTTTATAACTGCAATAGGTTTAACTCCATCTGACTTCTGTTTTTTGATAGAAAAGTACTTCTATTAAATGAATATATTATAACTGCAATAGGATTAACTCCATCTGACTTCTGTTTTTTGGTCGAAAAGTATTTCTATCAAATGAATATATTGCAACTGCCATAGGGGCTTATATTTTATACCTTTGTAGAATTACTACAACAATTTCACGCATTTAAATTGGGTAAATTTTACTTTTACTTTAGTCATATTTACAGTTAAAAATTCATTTTCCAAAAACACCTTATCTATAAAATCTACAGTTGACATTTGTAAAACTTAAAATCTTTTAATTAACGACTTTCTTTGCCAAGGTAATAAAAAAAGTTAAATTCTATATACTTTCTGTTTGACCTTAATTTTTTTGTAGTTTTGTTTATTTATTTGAGTAAAGTATTTAATGTGTTTTCTGACTAACTTAGATTTCTTATTATTTGAACAATTTTATTGCCGTCAAACACTTTCGGTTTTAAACAAATTTATTGCATTTATGAATTATTAATGAGGTAGCCCTTTCAAAGCGATAAATTTGATTTTTGAAAGAAACTCAATAATCAAAATTTTGTATATTCCGATAAACTATAAACAAAATTGATTTAATCATATCCCATAGCAGAAGTAAACAGAAAGGAAAACCCAAACATTTTTACAATAAGTGCTCGTTAATATTTTGATATGTCAACAAAATCTTTACTCGGATTTCATTTCGAAACTTTATTAATTTTTACATCCCATGAATAAGATAACAGCAATCCCACGTGTTACAACTTATTTGCTTAACAAATGAGACTAGTCAGACAGTCAGCTTAGACGGGCTGACTCGGGCTGACTGCTGCTGCGATAATTCAGTCAATAAGAATTCGTGTGCGGCAAATTAACAATTTAAAATTTAAATCGAAAAGTGGTAATAAAAATGTTGTACAATAATTATGTGTATCTTCAATATTGACAGCGAAACATTGCGATGAACATCTTTGATGTTTCGGAAACATGAAATGCATAGCCCGGTATTATGCCTACTTTTCAACTCGCAGAGTTAATGGGCGACCAAGGGCGTCACTTACGCAGTTGCCTTTCAGCAAAGTTGTCAAATAACACATGCAACTCACAGCATCCATTGCTTGCTGATATGCTTGCAACAAGTTTTTCATTATTGTTTTTGTTTTTTTTGTTTTCGTTTTCATTTTTAGTCCAACAATATTTATGTAGGGTTTTTCACATGGAAGAAGCCATTTTGAATATACAATGTTTTTATAAGATTAAATTTTTTCTGCTCCAACCAACCAATCTTTTGTAATTATTATAATTATTTCTGTTGTAATATCTTTCGGCATTGCTGGCATTCCTTCAGAGTTTCACTGTTGCACTTGTTATTAACATTAGTGCTGCTTGGAGTGTAATAGCGGATGCAAGGACGACTTACCTTTATCACGATATAAAGATTTTTTCCCCATTTTTTTTTATCGTTTCTTATAAACAAAAGATAATTTTCGAATTCCCTGTGGTGAGTTTTCAAGTTTTTGCTTTGCTTACGTGAGTATCGGCATGCATTCGTGAAGCTGTGCAGTTACTTTTCATCTCATTTGGTATATTTCGGACAAATCACTTAAATCCAAGCTTAATACCTGTTCTTTAGGTAAAAGAGAAAACAAAAAATAATATATACTGTCAGTTATAAAAATATTAAAATTGAAGTTTATCTTACTTAATAAAAGCGGTTACTTTTTTAGATTTAAGTTTTATTTTGTGCAGTTTTCAAGCATAAAATGTATATGTTAACATATGTATGCAATATTATGACTGCTTGGCAGCAATTTATTCGATCATGATTATGCATGGTTTCATCTATATCGTTTTGTTCATAGGATGGGTAAATACTTCATATACTAATAGTACATCTATTAGTCATATACTAATAGATTAAATTAATTACCATAAGTTTTACTAAAAGAGATATAGTGTAAAAATAAAAAATAAACATCTCAAAGAATATTTATTACCTCAAAAAATATTATATGAAACATAATTAGGTTTTTAAAGGGTTTCATTGTAATTGTTTTATCATCACTTTCATCAAAAATAACAAATACTGACTTAAATGCTTATTATCAAGAATAAAACTTCCATTTTGAAATATGCACTTAATACAATAAAAATTTCCGATACTTGAGATTATGTGATCCAGAACTTAGTATAAAAAGGGTGTAAAGTCTTCGTTTATAATATGAATCGAACTAAGTTATAGGAAAAATAATGATGTCGTTCAGTGAATAATTTACATATTTAATTTGCTTTTTAATATTTTACTCCAATTTAGGTGAAATGCGGGTTCCAACTCAATGCCTTTCAAAATCCTATTCACTTCCATTTGCAATCATAAATTTCTATTGTTGCTCGTACTTAGCTTATCCAAGTACATATATCCATATTGGATATTATATGGGGCCAGCAATGATGCGCAAGATTTTTTGGAGACATTTCTTTTAAAATTTTGAAGAAAGTAACATGACGAGATTTCATGGTACTTTCGCATGTTACAACATTAAATGGAATTTCCTTTATTTTTGCATTAATTATAAGAATAATTATTTTGAAATTTTTATATTGTTAACTTAATTAAAAATATTTAAATTAATTAATAAGCCTTCTGAATTAGAAAATCTGTTCCGACTCCACCTAGAAGCAAACAAGACTTCCAATCGCATTCTCTGTGAATGCCCAGTCTTGATTTGGGCCAGGAGGAGGTCACTGAATCGAGAACTGCTTTCCCCCCTTTTGAAATTAGGAGGTCCTCAACGAAAGCCGAAATGTCTTCTGTTCGGTTAGTGTCTGTTGCAGCACAAAAGATCAAATATGGTCGCGGCGTTCTCTTCCGTTGGGAGCTGGTACCCTGTTTATTTCTATTCTATTGTATTGTATTCTAATGTTATAAATAAAATATATTTTTTACATTATTTAAATTAATGTAAACGAAAAAGTGATCTAAATTCTGACAAAAAAAAAATACTGTAAAAAACTGATTATTTTTAAAATATTTTAAAGTAAAATATATTAAATAGAATAATAGAATATCTTAGATATTTACTATGTTATATTTTTTTAATGCAAACAATTTTTTCTTTTAATATATTTTTTAAAATCCTTGATCTGGTTTCGTGACATTTTATCTAAACGCATTAAATGAAATAAATTTTAATTTTCTTTGCTTTGAAAACTAACAATTCAATGTCAACGCATCTTTTAAGGTGTTGTAATCATTGTGTTACTTTGTGGCACACATGTTTTTTTCTTTATTTATTTATTTTTTTTTTAATAATGTAATTAAATACACATAAATAGATATATCTGCATTTGTAAAATATCTAATGCACCATATACATGGTGTTAATAAGTATATCGTATATATGTGTGAACAAATAAGTTAGTTGCATCGAATATCTACCAAATGCAGGTCACATTATAAATATTTACATTAATGCTTACAAGCAAGCACAGCAAATATAAATGCAGCCACTGCTATTCTCTGACTGCTGCCGTTTCGTTGAGCTGTTAAAACTATTATTGCTGTTAATGTTAATGTAAATGCTGTAAATGAGTCTGTTGTTGGCAGCGATGTTGTTATTTTGGGTGTTTGGTATGTTTACATTTGTGAGTAGCAGCAGCAGCAGCAGCAGCAGTGACAGTAATAGTAATCTGCATTTAAATGCTGTTTTGAAATTTTCATTTAAATTTACTTTTTGATATCTTGAGGTGTTTTTATTTTTTATACATCAAATACAAATAAGCAAATTATAAATACAAGAAATTACATAATTTGTAAGTTAATAGATAAAAATGCATGTAGCTTTGACAAATAAACTTGTGTAATATAAGCTTTATTTTTGTTGACAACTTATATCAACTGAAGAGCAACATTAAGCAAGGCAAATCAATTCCATTTACATTAACATTAAAGTAGGTGCAAATTAAGTTAGTTAAATAAATACAGCTTAAAAATAATGTTTGTACTTTTTGTGATGAAATAATTTAAAATAATTTCTGTCGATTTAATTTTAAATAATTTAACATAACAATACTCGCAATTATGTTAAGCTATTTTCTATAGTTAGAGTAAGGAATTACATATTTAAAATATTCTGTCTTGCAACATTATTCTAATTTGAAGTAAAATTAAGTAAGCACGTCACCTAATATTACTGGCGGAATTGAATGCTTCTCTTTTGACTTCGACTTTGACTTCTGACAATAGCAGCATCAGTAATGAAAAAATATTAAAGTCAATTAAGTTAATACATTTTTAATAATTTTTAAAGTTTAAATCAATTTGACGGTTAAGGCATGCGCAACAAACAGTGGCTATTAGTAGTAATGGCCGTAGTGTGTCATCACTAAATCGGTTAACAATAGTTTAGATATAGTGACAACACAATACATATGCTAAAATGTTAGTATAGTAACACCAAAGTTGCCTTAGAATCAAGGTTACCAATGAGTGAATATTGACATTATGTACTTCTGTACAATATTGACATCATGCATGTACAATGTTATTTAGAATTACCTTGCAGCGTTTATGTTTTGTGGCAATTTCAGTCTTTTTTTTATATTTTTTTGCATATCTACATCTGAGTTGCTAATTCACGCACAAGTGCAATGCGGCAATTTTAATTTTCCAATTACTTTACATTATCACTGCTGATTCTGTCAGTCACAACTTCTGGTACATAACCAAAAATCGTCAATTTGTTACTGGTTGACTGCTCCGCTTTGGTTTTACTTGGTTCAACTTGGTCGCGAGCCACAAATCACTTGCCACAAACCCGTTGAATTTGTTTTGTTCGCTGATTACTGCAATTGAAAGTTGTTAAGTTGTTCAAAGTGTTTTTTTATCTTTTGTTTTTTTGTTGGATTTTAAAATTTGTTGCAATTATAAACTTTTAAAAATTAAGCACTTATAAACGCCTATTTTCTTGTTTCGTTGCCAGCAGAATTTTATATATTTTCTTTTAACGTTTATTGCTGCCGGTCGGCAAATAATTACGTATTTTGATTGATAATTTTAATTTTAACTTTCTTAAATTTTAAAACTAATTTTAATTAATTTATAAAATTAATTTTTTTTTTGTTTTTTTACAGCAAAATAAAAATACAAAATCGAAATGTTCAAATTTAAACTGCCGCAAATATAGTTCAGTTCACACACAACAACCGGCTGGACCCGTTAGAGAAATACAAATAGATCCTTATATAATACTTGATGATGAGCTGAAATATTTTTATGATGATGTCAGAGATGTAAGTATAATTAATATTTTTAATCGTTTATATATTTACTTTTTATTAAAAGAAAAAGCATGTTTATTATAATATATATTATTTATAATACATATTAGATAAAATATATATTATTTATAATATTTATTATTTATAATAGATTTTATTAATAATATTTATTATTTATAATCTATAATATAAAAAAAAAAGTTATATTAAAAACAGAAGTCAGCTATAGGAAAACGTTATTAACATTGAAACTGTTCATTTAATTTATATTTATAATTTCCTAAGCAGATATTCATATATTCATAAATATAATTTATCTTCTGTGTTGTTTATTTTATTACATTTTTTCATTTTAATATATTATATGCGAATATATTTATGCGAACTTGAGCACTGACTGCATGAGTAAGTAATTATTTGTTCGTTTTTACGTACTGTTACCTGGTACGCCGGCTTTTGTTCATTTTAAAGAATATATTTCAGCTAACTTAAGCAGTGACTGCATATAAAATCTTGGTTTTTTCAATACTGTTAGCTGGTACGTTAACTTTTATTTATTTCAAGAAATTTATTGCAGTTCACTTGAGTACTGACTGCGTGAATGAGTTAATTGATGAGATTTAATGAAAGATTGAAATAAATTATATTTAGTAAACCGATTCATAATGCATATGAATTTACGTTAATTGCTTTAGTCAATGTTGTTTAGAATTATAGGGAGTATAGGGAGTATGGAGTATCATACATAATATTATATGCATACAGGTTAGACTAGATAATTCTGTCCATCCATAAGTCACGCATAGATTTAGTGATACTAGATAGAGTAAACCCTTCTGTGCATTAATTATCTAAATAAGCAAAGTTTTAAGTAAGTTATATGCATTAATTTTTATATCACAACAAACAACATCCTTTATTTTCAACTCTTAATATTTGTTATTGATTTTACATAGTATACCGAAAATATTTATAAAATAATTAAAATATCAATTAATTTTATAGCTTTTATACTAGATACTTGAAAAGCAGTGAAAAGTTTATGAAACCGTATATGCCTTTAAAGCCTTTATTTTAATGCTGTTGTGATTTTAATATTATCTTAAAAATCAGAGAAGCAATAACAATAAAAACCATAATTTAAAAAAATACAAAAATAAAAATAATAAACTGATGAAATAATTCGCAAAATGTACTGACGATACAATATCTTTCATATTCAATTTCGAATAATTTTATTGTTTTTTTTTTGTAGTGATTTAAAAATATAAAATTTTTTATAGCTACATTTACAATAAGCAGCTTTTACACTTACTGCCATTACTATAAAGATATTAACCAGATGCACTTTACATTCTACTAATAGTTTCACTTAATTTACGACAATTTTTAATTATTTATTAATTGGCAATCAAATATAATAATAATTTGAAATAATAACATATTGAATTGATGTTTTTAAAAGTCAAATTTAACGAAAGAAATTTTTTTGAATAGAAAGGTTTGAACATTAATAATTTACTATAATAATTAAATTTTTGATTAATGAAAATTCCTTGACTAACCATATTGCTATTTCAAGTACTACTAAAATTATAATCACTAATTATTCCATTATTAGTGATCTTTGTAAATATTTGTTGGTTTTATTATCTGTCCGTAAACAATTTCAAAGGCCACCCATGATTGGTCTGTATGGACTAGTGTAAGACTACTCCAAATTCAGGATTAAAACCTTAGAACCTTCAAAACTTTATTCAAAGCAAGACAATTAGTTCACCCTTAAAACATCCGCATGTAAAACGTCTTAACAGTCTAGTTTCGGATTGGTTATATAGTCCGTTATTGTTCTTTTAGATTGTTTCGACTTCATGCAAGAAAATAGCATTTATATATCGTTTGATTTTATACAAAATTTTTATTAAAGTGATTATCATTTAAAAGCAGTCCAGTTAATTGGGGATATCTATTATTAATATAATCCATATATTATTTTATTTATATTATATATTAATTTTAATTGCAAATTATTAGATGCAATAAGTTATATTATTTTAAAAAAATCCAAAACTATATTTACTAACCCAATTAAATCATTCATACAAAATATCTCATTGAATTTATATTAATTATAAAGTAAAAGCTGTCATTTCACATCTACATAAATAAAGTATACCCATAAGTTACTTCAAACAAAACTAACAAAATTGTTTGAAAAGGTGTGCGCTTGAAAAATAAAAAAGAATAAAGTTAGTGCTGCTTAACTGCACTTAAAAAATAATCAAATAAAAAAGAGATACAATTTCTGTAGGTTGAGATCACTTATAGCTCTGTTAGCTCGAGATACCAAATTAGTGTTTTTAAATGCATTAAATGACAGTACATGTTGCTTATGACATTGTAGAGAATTTGGACCTTAAGTAGAGCTTCTTTAAGAAGTCATTACATTTATACTTAGACGTACTATTCTTCACCAACAAACACCTGAAAATTAGTTATTTATATTCTCTAATATTGAAATATTTTTTTTTTGTTAATTGTTTCATTTCATTTTGAAATATATTGGGGCAAAGCTTGTAAATAAATATTGCATTAATTTATATGTATTGTTCTATATGCTCTATTGTCCATATTTTTTCTATATATGCTTGTGCGGATATAACGCATATAATTATGTGTAATATTTTCCATATAAAACTTAAGCGCATACGTATCCGCGCTAAATATAAAACACGGTTAATGCTAATGAGCTAAATGTTAATTTATATAAAGAGAAACCTGCAGTTTTGAACCTTATGCTTACCTAAACAGATAGAAATATTTACATAGTATTTGAATCAGTATAATATTTTTGTTATTATCAATATTTTAGTAAGTTTCTTCAACAATTATAAGTATCTAAAAAAAAACTTTGCATCAAAGAACTATACGACTAAACATTAGTATTATACTACTTTTACATATTATTTTCTAATTCATAAATTCATAAATATTTAAATTCATTGGAATATGTGAATATGCTTTTAGAGATACATTTTATTGATTTAATTAATGTCCTTCATATATAGTAATATAAAAATTCAATATTAAAATCAACGATGCGCTTGTTTAAATATAATATAATTGAAATTATATTTATGCAATTAATTATGATCCTATCAAAAATAGACAACGGCGTGATCAATGTCATAGTTTCTCATATGGGTATTCCTAAAAATATTTGGCATTTATTTGTTTATTAAACTTAAATAAACGTAAAATCTTTTCTATATCAATATAATTTAATGTTAGTTATAACCTTGAATTTTAAGTCAATGTAAAGTCTAAAATGCTTTGATTTCAATTTATCCGTGAAATGATGATAATTTCATTGTTATTGATTATACTACCACATATTACTAAACATACTCGGTCGCGCTACACGGTTTTAACATACATCAATGAAAATTCTACACATTAAATAGCAATTATAGAAATGCTTTAATTTGTTTTAAATTAGTTGAAATATATACATTTTTAAATGATTTTAAAAAATTACTTTATTTTTAATAAATTTTAACACATTTTGCAGCTTCTTCAACAAGGCACACGTCAACCCGAACTTGATAAAATAGCGTCGTATTACTTTGATGGACAAGGCAAAGCACTGAGGCCCATGGTAACAATGCTTATGGCCAAAGCGATAAACTATCATTTAAATAAAGAATCAAGGTAAGCATAGCACTTTGTATGTACTATATATATATCTATTTGCTGCTGTTTATTTTATATTTTTACAATAAATAATTCATACACACATTTTATTTGTAAACAAACTGAAGGAAACTAAAATTAACAAAACCAACCCAGAAAAATAAAAAAATAAAATAAAAAAAATCACTCAAAAATTCAACTATTAAATAAACTTTATGAAATTTACAATAAACATTTTTATGCTAAAAATTATTTGCACAAGACATTATTTTTAATTTCTGTAAAATTTACTGCCGCAATAAATTGATTAACACAAGCCTGCAACTCTTCAACTCTTGTAATCAAACACCAAAAATTTATTTAATTTTTTTTATTTAGATGTTACTTAACAATAGTCATAAATCCGCTTAAATAAAAAAAATGAACTTCATTAAGACATATATTTTCAAAATTTATTTTTATCACTATGTATATATAGTCAGTCAGTCCGCTAGTATTATGTGTAATTACAATTTAACTTAATTTAAGAAAAACAAAATTTTTTAAAAATACCATATTTAATACTTTTGTATCTTTTTTGCAGCCTTTTGGTACACAAACAACGACAAATTGCGCTTTTTTCTGAAATGGTGCACTCTGCCAGTTTGGTGCATGATGATGTTATCGATCAATCTGATTTCCGGCGTGGTAAGCCCAGTGTTAACGCGCTGTGGAATCATAAAAAGGTAAGATTAATTTACAAAGATTACGCGCACTACTGTGAACCTTCTCTGGGTTCATGGTTCTTATGTGGTCATCTGCTCATAGTTTGTGGTCCGCTGACTTTAGTAGTTCTAGTTTTAATTAAGTTGAGATGTAAAAGCTATTTAAATGCTTTAGTAATTTAATATTTTGAGTTACTCACTGGGCACAAATGCGACCTTTTGAGGTTGCAATTGTGGTAATAAATTCTATTTATGTAAGTAAATGCAAGTCTTAGTAGCTTCATGGTTGATTAACCACGATAGTTGTTGGTTTAAATATGCTTTGAAATATTTCTAAATATCTTTATTTAGAAATATTTTATGTTTAATAAAAATAATAAATTAATGTTCTGTGAAGAGATTAAGTTAAAAATTTTTAATAATTATACTAAAATGGGAAGCTTCGGTTGTTATAATATAACCATAAATTTTTTTTAGTTTATGGTAATTCACTCTTTCTTTACTTCAAATTTATCTTCTTGAAAGTCAAGTTACAAGGTGATCAAATTAAACTGCAATGCGATTTTTCAATTTTTTGGTAAAACGGCAGAAAATGAATATTGCAAACTATATAATTTTTGCGATATCTGAATAGAATTAGGAACTATGGAACTATGGAAAGATGTTCTTGAGCAGATGCTTTGTCTGTTTTAGTATTGAAAAAAGACAAAGTATTATGCAAAATGTTCCATACGGGAAGATTATACAGCTTGTGTCGGGTGTTCAAGCACTGAAGTGATCACTCATTTATTTTTGCATACAAAAAACTCTGGTGTTTCAAAAAGCCCTGAACCTTTGGCAAAACCTAAAAATCGGCCCTGCATACGTGCTTACGTTGGGCAGTAACTGAGAAGAAGTGATTCACTTTCATTATCCTCTTCACAGTTGTAATAGGATTGTTTAAATGGAGGATTTAATTTTCTAGTATAGTTCCATAATCTCCTGTGACCTGTCAAGAAACTTATCACAGGATTTATATTCCTATAGGCCAACTCAATGAGAGTACTGGATTTTTTCTTAATAGAACGTGGCTAAGTTTTGTAAAGATGCCTACATCTGCTAGATGATTTCCATCTTTTATTAAATTTTTGAGGCGAATAATTTTATTTCATTTTTAATAATTTTCATTTTAATTTTAATTCGTTTTAAATTAAATCCTTTTTGTGTTTAAACCTTTGCTGCTATTGGAAATTCATTTTTTGTTAAAATAAAAGATTTATTTATGATAAAATAAATATTTATTTATAATAAAATAAATATTTATTTATAATAAAAAATGTGTTGTTGTTCTTTTAAAAATTTAAAAATTTTATATAGCAATTTTCATTTCAAAATTAATTAAATAAGTGAGAACTCACACCGATAAATAATGAACTTAATGTGTGAATATGTTTTAAATACTTAATTGCATTGCATAGTGCAGTAGATTACTACACTGCAACATTTTTTAAAAGTTAAAATATTTAAAACATTTTTTAAACATTTTACTTAAATTGTTTTTTATTTTTCACTAAATTAATAAAAATTTGAGGTTTCGCAATTTTATATTCCATTCAGTTGCGCGCTCCTGTGTCGTCTTAATTGAGATTTATTACAGCTACGTTTTTAGCTACTGGGTATTGACGGTCTCTTGACAATCGCGAGTAAATCCAATATTTACAGTTTCATGTAGATTAACAGAGTAGAGTATTAAAAGCACAGTTGCTGCATTAAAATTTTACTATTATTTTTATAATATTCACAACATAAATTAATTAAGTTCAACAGTTTCGTAATGTAAATGTAAAGTATTTTGTGGTTATGAGTCATTAAAGTTGGATGTGTTCCTGTGATTTTGCGCTGCACAAAGTCTTTAAATGCATTTTTATGAGTCACATACAGGCATATGAGATTACTTTGATTTCGCACTTAAATCATAACATTTATAACATTTATAAACTTTTTTACAATTAAAAAAAAAATTTGATTTAATCTTATATTTGTTTTTTATTTTTTTTTTTTAACAGGTCACAATGGCTGGAGATTACATATTGTCAGTTGCTTCTATTATGATTGCACGTTTGAAAAGTAATGATGTGACCATAATATTAAGTAAAGTAAGTTCTTTGTTTTTTGTTAAATGTGAAATAAACACTATATATCTATTTTTTAATCATATGATAATTTCTAAAAGTTTGCGCATAGCTTGACATAAAATTACGAATATACAAATAAACTTCAAAGATAGGCAGACAGACGTACGTGCAAAAATTAGTTATGAATTTTTAGTTTGCGAATGAGAGGGATAAATTGTAAATTCCCTATTTTGTGGTTTTTACAATATTTAGGTATATGTCTACTATATAATTAAACATGTGATTTTTATGTATTTACTGATATAATTCACGAAAGACTTCACTTTGTCAAATAACTGGGAAATACATGAATTTGTTTAACATTTTAATGAATGAGTTTTGCATTTTATCATATCTAATTCTATAAGTATTTTCCAATTATAAGTCAATGAACTTTATTAAGACTTATAATATTTAATAAACTTACGAAAAAAATCATTTATATTACAAATTGTAATATAAGCGGTTTATAATTTAGTCGTAACTTATCTTCTTTTATTTTTTATAACTATTGCCTCAAGTAGTTAAATGCCTTGTAGGCTTTGAATAATGTAATAAGTTTTGATTTATGTTTTTAATTTTGCTTTTTTTAAATTTACAACTTTTAATTAATTAATATTTATTAAATATTCATTATACAGATTTAACATTTGGTTAATAAAATTTTAATTTAGTTTGGTTAGTTGTGTAATGTTTTTCTTCTGATTTCTTAAATACAATTTGCACTGACTTTTAATCAATATTTGAAAGTAGTTTTTAAATGTTTAACAAATTGCATATTTCAATAAATCACAGAATACAATAAAAGTATGATGGAAGCAATATTTAGTAGTTAATCGTACTAATAAACATTATTCTCACAACAATAAATACACTATTCTCATCAATAAATATATATTTTGTCGATTTAAATTTGCCACTGGATTGAGACACGAATGGATATTATAGTTCTTTTTTTTTGTTTTTGGTATTGTGAAATATTTAGAAATATCTGTTATAATAAAAAAGCAGATATATTTATAGTAAAATCACTATTAAGTTAAAAAATGTAAATAGAGCACAGTTGCTCAAATGACCTCGGATAATGTTATCTTATAGACTGTCCGAAAAAGTGAATCTATTACTAGACAATAAATTGAAAATACATTTTACTCATTTGTTTGAAAATATTATCAATAAACCCAATATGTTTAGAATAAATACAGATATGTATTCAATTCTTTAATATATTTTCCATAAGAAAGCGATCCGTTCCTAATTAGGAGTTCATAAAGAAAGAATCTTCATTCGAATTCTAATAATGTTCAAAACAGTATTAAATTTCTTAGCACAAACGATTAATATGATTGCTAGTATTAAAATGTATAGAGAAAACAATTATGATAGTTGAAGAATTTCGAAAGTAACAAAAATATTAATTAAAAAATATTTGACTATGCTAGCCAAATGTTGTCATAGAAAATAACCAGAAATCAGGAAAAATCTATCGATATTTAAACGTATTGAGTTTCAACTGTTCATCTGCAATAGTGTAAAGAAACATTATACGACACATAAATTCTAGAAGGAATTTTAATTTATAGAACACTTGTAAAAGCAAAAATCAAAGATAGGTTAAAAGTCTCAACGACGCATTCAAGGCAGTATAAAATGGACTAAATAGGGAGTTTTTAGACTCTTTTTTGACATGACACTGCAGGTTAAGATATCATCTCAACAAAATTGACTTTTCAGAGACCAATATCTGTTGCTTCAGTGGAACGAATGTTGAAAGGTATGAGCATATTGGTAGTAGACACGTTCATCAAAGAAATAATATTGTTACACCAAACAAAATTTATGAAATAAAATTAATTAATTAAGGTATTAACGTTTAATAAAATTATCGATTAAAATAATTTTAGTCTATCATAATAGACCAAATGACTCAATGATAATTGATGGTTGGATTTTGATGTTAATATAGCTTTCATTTCTTTTATTTAGATAGAACAAAAGAGCCATTTTGAAATGAGATTTAAGATTCTTTTTCTTAAACTCAACTGCACGTTTAATAGAGATAATTCTTTTAACATTTTTGGAGATATATTTGTAATGCTCCCCAAAAATCATTAGGTTGTAGGCTTCTATAATGGAATTTGTTAATTAGAGATAGTTTTAAATTTTCTTTTTTTTTA